TCTGTCAGGTCGGTGATTCTCAAACATTTCCTCCTAGTGGTGCAACTTCGATTTTCATTCTCTGAACACACTGGCTCTTACACAGCCAAAGTTGTGTTGTGTTGTGTTGTGTTGTGTTGTGTTCTATTCTATTCTGTTCTATTCTATTCTATTCTATTCTATTCTATTCTATTCTATTCTATTCTATTCATCTAGAGACAGGGGCTCGCTATGTCGCCCATACTGGAGGGCAGTGACTCGATCTCGGCTCACTGCAAACTCTGCCTCCTGGGTCGAGCAATTCTCCTGCCTCAGCCTCCCCAGTAGCTGGGGACTACAGGCATGTGCCACCACGCCAGCTAATTTTTGTATTTTTTGGTAGAGACGGGGTTTCACCATGTTGGCCAGGCTGGCCTCGAACAACTGAACTCAAGTGACCTGCCCACCTTGGCCTCCCGAAGTGTTGGGATTACAGGCGGGAGCCACCGCGCCCGGCCAGAGCCAGAGTTTTAAATTTTGCCAAACTCCTATTCATCCATCTTTCCTTTCCATGGATCATGCATCTCAGGTCATGTCCTAGCCTCCCCTCACAAAGATGTCTTCCTACGGTTTCTCCCAAAAGTCTTAGTATTGAACTTCGGTTTGTAGGTCTCCGAACCCTTTTTCCTTAATTGCATGTAAAGGTTGAGGTTGAGGTGCTTCTTTTTGCATAAGGATAGGCCACCTGATGCATTGAAAAGCTTATCCCTTCTCCATTGGATTCCCTCTCACACCCATGTCAAAACTTATTGGACACATTTCTATGGATGGATTGATTCATGGACTCTATTTTATTCCATGGATCTACTCGTCTACCCCTGTAAGCCAGCAATCTCGATTATTACAGCTTTAGAGCAAATCTGAAAATCTGATAATATGATCTCTCTAAATCCCTTCTGCTTTTTGAAACATCAAATATTCTACGTGAATTGTAGAATCTGCTTGTTTATATATGCAAATGTCCCTCAAGGATTCTGATAGGCAGGGACTGCATTCATTCTCCAGATCAAATTGGGGACAATGGACTTTTAACCTTTTGGGGTCTTTAAATATGGGAACACATTGTTTCTCTCCATTTAACTAAATCTTCTTTGATTTCTTCATTACCCTATAATAGTTTTGGGCATGCAGACCTCTTCCATGTATTTTCGCTCTATACATAGCCATTTCATTGTGTTTGTAGCTTTTGTAAAACAGTATTATTTCTTAAATTTAGGTTTCCAGTTACTCATAGGATTGTTTTCTGTGTGTTGAGTTTCTCTCCTGTATCGCTGCTAAGCTCTCATTAATGAGCACTAAGCTCTTACTAGCTCTGAGAGTCTGGAGGAGATTCATTGGTTGTTTCATGTAGACGATCACAGGATATATGAAAAGGAGTACTTTGGTTTCTTGCTTTCTCCGACGTGTGCCATGACTCTCCTGGCATTATAGCACTGACTAGGCCTCCAGCGTGACGTTGAATAGCTGTGGTGAGAGTGGACGTCCTTGCCTGGTTCGCATCCTTAGGCAGAAAGCATCCAGTCGTTGACCATTAAGTGGCTTGTTAGTTGTAGGTTTGACTGTACACGCCCTTTTTCAGGTTGAAGAAGTTGTCTTGTGTTCCTAGTGTGCTACAGCTTTTATATCACCAGTGGACTTGGAATCTTATTGATTGGTTTTTCTGCGTAGCTTGATGTGATCCTGTCATTTTTGTTCTTCATCTGATCTCTCAATCTGTGGATTACATTGATTGATTTTCAGGTGTGGGAAGAACAACCCTTGCATTCCTGCTATAAAACCCACTTGATGGTGGCTTATTCTTCTTCTCACATACTGCTGAATTCCAATTACTAAGTTTTGTTGAATACTTTGGTGCCTGTATTAGGAAAGAATACCGGTCTGTCCTTTTCTTGGTATCCCTGCGGTGCTGGCCTCATAAAATCAGCGGGGCACATTGCCTCTGCTTTGTTTCCTAGAAGAAGTTGGGTAAGTTGGTGATATTTGTTCATTAAACGTTTGGTAGAATTGGCCAGTGAAACTGTTGCGGCCCAGAGATCTTTTTGCAAATGTGTTTGCCTGTGAATTCGACTTCTTTAAAACATACAGGACTGTGACACAGTTCAGTGTTTGAAATCCATCCTGTGTGAGTTTCCATAGCTTGTGGTTTTCAAGTATGTGCTACATTTCCTCTGACCTGTGGAATATGAATCTGTAGAGTCGTGTGTGTTTTTACCATATTGACCCTTTTATGTTTTCTGGGTCTGGAGTGCAGTCTCTTCTTGCATTCCTGATAACTGGTAACTTGTTTCTTTGCCCTCTTTTTTCCCAGCCCGTCCTGCCACGGGTGTATCAATTTCATTGATCACTTCAAAGAGCCAGCTTTTGGATTAGTTGAATTCATCTATGTGTTTTTCTCTTTGAAGTCTCCTGGGGGTTTTTGCTTCTGTTATTTAGTAAAATAAATTCTTATCCACGCTCGGAATTTGGAAACGATTTCCATAGGCATGAGCAGCCCTTTTGACTAGATGCAAACCCAGTGGTCGGGAAGGTGAACATACAAAAGGGTGTGTCCCCATGGTGCAAACGCTTACAGTTGAGTAAAAGTCTCCCTTGTGAATGGATGAAAAATGAACGCTCATGGGCAGAGCATCTGTGAGTCACGCCTTGATTATTCTACAAATGATGCTTGGGAAGGGGTTGGAGAGTGTCAGCAGGGAATTGACATCGTCGAACTGCATCGCAGCCTTTTGCACTCCGTGTCACGTGGATGCATTAGTTGGTATCATTTCTAAATCCTTTATTAGATGGCATTAATTTTCTAAGCTGGTGACATGTATGATCTCACGTCATCCTCAGAAGAAGCCTAGGACAGGGTCTCTGTATAATCTCCATTCTACACACAGGAAGTGGAGGGACAGAGAGGTTGAGTAAGATGAATAATCATGTGTTTTCTTCTGGTCTTATCACCTTGTGTTGCAGTCTGGGTTCTGCCCGCACACATTCCTCGCTACCTTCTTCGTGTCTGAGAATCTCCAGCTTCACCTCCTTTTCTGGACCCAAGGGCCTGGCGGGGCTTCCAGCTGGGACCAGACCTCCATGGATCCACTCCAGAAACGGAATCCAGCATCACCTTCCAAATCTTCCCTGATGACAGCTGCAGAGACTTCCCAGGAAGATCCAGCGTCCTCTCAGCCTTCTTACTCAGAACAGCCGATGATGGGCCTCAGTAACCTGAGCCCCGGTCCTGGCCCCAGCCAGGCCGTGCCTCTCCCAGAGGGGCTGCTCCACCAGCGGTACAGAGAGGAGAAGACGCTGGAAGAGCGGCAGTGGGAGAGGCTGGAGTTCCTTCAGAGGAAGAAAGCGTTCCTGCGGCACGTGAGGAGGAGACACCGCGATCACATGGCCCCCTATGCTGTTGGGAGGGAAGCCAGAGTCTCCCCGTTAGGTGACCGAGGTCAGAATCGATTCCGATGTGAATGTCGATACTGCCAGAGCCACAGGCCAAATCTTTCTGGGATCCCTGGGGAGAGTAACAGGGCCCCACAACCCTCCTCCTGGGAGACGCTGGTGCAGGGCCTCAGTGGCTTGACCCTCAGCCTAGGCACCAACCAGCCCGGGCCTCTGCCCGAAGCAGCACTCCAACCACAGGAGACAGAGGAGAAGCGCCAGCGAGAGAGGCAGCAGGAGAGCAAAATAATGTTTCAGAGGCTGCTGAAGCAGTGGTTAGAGGAAAACTGAGACGTGCACCCACATGGGATGGAGACCCAAAGGGACTGCCGTGTTGGCAGCGCCTGGGTGTGGGCCCATTTTGGGGACCAAACACCAAGTTGTGGTCGGATGGGTGCCAGGACCTGTGTGCCGGGACACGTGGGAATCCTCCCAGCATGATGCTTGACCGACCCCAGGAAGGTCCTCATCTTTCGTGCCTGTCATTCTCGGATGGCTGTGAGGCATTCCTTGGCAAGGGACGCTGCATACCAGCGGTCCTCGCCGCATCTCACGTGGCTCCCGTGATGCATGTTGTTGCTTTCCCACCCGGGATCTCCATCTCTCTTCCCTTCCTGCTGTCAGTAAGAGATCACATGTCTGTGTAGTGTGAATGCCTTGTCGCTGTCCTGTGCTTTTGCACCATTGAGTTGACTGCCTCTGAGAAGCAGCACTAGGCCTGTTGAATTGCAATGTGCTGCCCTGAGATCCCGTTTCAAGAATGGGCAGCTAAACACAGTGTGGGAAAGGGATGTGGAATGAGAACTTGGTGGTTCACCGCTGTACTGTTTGTGTAATCATTTATGTATGTGGTAAGCTACATGTATGTAAATATTGCAATACCCCTAACAGCCGAGTAGTAGTCTCCCTTGCAGGAATTTCTGACGGGGTTCTTCATCATCAGTACCAAATAAATATATGTAGGAATGGAAAATGGGTGTAGAATTCAGGTTTGTTCCTCACTATTGGTTGGTTTCTCATTAGATCTGAGCTGACTACCTTGAAATCTCCCCAAGCAGGGGATCCGGGTTTATTGAGGGAAGCTCTACGCTGTGGAGACTGGGAACGGGGGAGGGAGGGCACCAGAGAACACAGCCCAGTCACTGTTTGAGCTCTGCAGCGGGACCAGCATCCAGACCGGCGAGGCAGGGCCATGACTTCAAAGAGAGGCTTCCTGTGCACAGGAGACGTGGAAGCAGAGTCCACCACCCACGGTGAGAGCCCTGCGTGTTGGTGCTGGTGCCCTGGCTTAGGGGCTGCGGCGCCATTGCTTGTTGTGTGGTGGGCCCAGGTGGCTGAACCTGAGCAACAGTTTGCACCTGCTTTGTCAGAACCAGAGCATCCTTGGGTTCTTCCAACATCTTATTGGGATTTAGACATGTGTGTCTTTTAATTTCAGGAGGCACAAATGATTAAATCTCTCTCTTTTTTTTAACCTCTGCAGAATCCTGAGATGTGAACCCAGCCAGTACCCGTGTGACTCCTCTGAACTGAAAACAAATTCTGCTTTGTGTCAGTCTGTTTTAGGTAGTCCCCAGAGCTGTCTTGCTGCAAAAGTCTATGCGTCTCCTGCCGACAGAAGTGGCTTGAAAACAGGTAAGTGTCTTAGGTTCTGATGCTGAGATCTCATGAGAGAGTTGACAGTTGAACTGACCTAGCTCCAGGGGAGAAGGGAAAAAACAGCAGGGCTATTCCTTCTTGAAACACAAAGGCCTAAATGCAGACCGGTAAATCTCGGAGGGCTTCAGAGGGGTTCGGGTTTCAAAGGGGTTCAAGGTGTTGCCCTTTGGCTGATGTTTCCTAGGGTTCTGACGGTATTTTCCCCATTTCTGTATGTCAGCTGCCTTCCTCCACTCCCACACACCCATCCTCTAGCAACATTTTCAGTTCCGCTTTATGAATTTGGAAAGCAGAACACCAGAGAAGTTAGGGAACTAGCCCACGGTGGCACAGGCAGTAAGAGGTAGAACAAGCATCCGAACCAGCACCTGAACCTAGGCAGGCTGGGATCAGAGCTGGCCCCCTTCAGCAGTTCACCTCTGTGAAGGCTGTGGGTGAAGTGCCTAGAGCCGGGCTTTGGTGCTCATTTCATAGCTGGTAGCACCAGGTCTTGGTGAGATCCATTGCTGAATCCTCCACACAGTGCCGTGGGCCAGGTACAATCATCCCCACCTTGCGGAGAGTTTGCGCAGGTCCTAAGGTGGTGGCCAGAGATGCATGCATTCGTCTGACTCCCCAGCCACTCAGATGCTCTCTGCGGACCTTCTCAGTCAGCCCAGTAAGCACGCCAGGTCCGTGCTGCCAGTGACAGTCATCATTTCAGCAATCATCATCAGGGTTTCCATTTTCTCACCTTGCCTCTCTCCCTTCTGGGCTACGTCGACTGTCGTGGTGGGGAGGTGAGGAGGAGTTGCAGAGGTAGCCCTGCTCCGGGGGATTGAGCGATTCATCAGGGAGAGAGAGCTGACCCCATCTTAGTCTGTGTCCTTCTGCTATATCATGAAATACAACGGGCTGGGTGCTCTGGATTGGATATGGTATGTTTATCCCCACCAAGAGTCAGGTTGAAGTTGAATCCCCAGTGCTGCAGTGTTGGGAGGTGGGTCCTAGTGGGAGGTGTTTGGGTCATGGCAGGGATCCCTCATGAATGATTCCGTGTCCTGTGATGCCATCGTGCTGGGCTGAGTTCTTACTCTCACAGGTATGAATTAGTTCGCAGGAGAGTGGATTGTTCACAAGATTCTGGCCTCCCTGGATTCTCTCTCCCTTCCTTCTTTCCAAGTGATCTCGTTGCACACGCCAGCTCCTCTTCCACTTTCCACCATGAGTTGAAGCAGCCCGAGGCCCTCACCAGATGCAGTTGCCCAAAAATGAATGTTTCAGCCAGCAGAATTGTGAGCCAGATAAACCAATTGTTTCTTTTAATTTAAAAGGTGTATTTATATGAATTGTTTTTAGAGACAGGGTGATGCTCTGTTGCCGACGAGAGTGGAGTGGCACGATCATGGCTCACTACAGCCTTGAACTCAGGTGGGATGCTCCCACCTGAGCCAAGTAGCTCAAGGATGTACTGCCATGCCAGGCTAATCTTTAAATGTTCTGTAGAGATAGCGTCTGGCCGTGTTGCCCAGGCAGATCTGGAACTTCAGGCCTGAAGTGATCCTCCCACCTTGGCCTCTCAGAGTCCTGGGATTAACAGGCACGAGCCACCGTGCCTGGCTTCCAGTTTTCTTTAGAAATGAGCCAGTCTCAGGTATTCTGTTATAGCAAAGCAAAATGAACCAAGACAGCTGGCAATTTGTAATGGAAACAAATTTATTTCTCATGACCCTGGATGCTGGGAAGTCCAAAACGAAGGTACAGGTATCTGGTATCTGGTGAGAGTCTTCTTGGTATTTCCTCACGTGGCAAAAGGTGGAAGGACAAGCCGGGAAGAATGTTACGTCCTCACATAGCAGACGAGGAAAAGACAGAGCAAGCCGACTTCCGCAAGCTCTTTTCATAGCAGCATTCATTCACTCACGAGGGCTCTGCCGTGATGGCCTAAACACCTGCTGTTATTCCACACCTCCCAACACTGTTGCAGTGGGGATTAATTTCACTGTGAGTTTTGGAGGGAACACAAATATTGAAACGCTAGCAGGCACGCATTGTTGTGTCAGAGAACGGGTGTTTGATCCCGTGCGGTCCCAGTCCCAGGAGATGAAAGGAGTGAGAAGGATCTGAGTTGGAAACACCAGACATCAGGGGCTTGCTCAGGGAGCTCACAGATGCACAGTGCCACAGGGTCTCCAGGAACAGGCATGGAAAATGGGTGGGTGGCGGTAACTGAGGCACTCGGCACACCCTCCACATCCTCACTTCCAGGTCTTTGTCCCTGTACCTGCGTGTTGGGCGTGGATGGGACTTGCGGGTCATGTCTGAGACACCATACTATCCCAAGTTACAGACTAGGATCTGCAGTCCTGTGATGTCCACAGGTGTCCAGCATGCGACATTTCAGAGTAGAGACCACACCAAAAGCACCAGCAGGCGAGAAAGATTGGGACAGGGAAAGGTGCAAATGCAGTGATCACGTGGGACATCGGAGTAGACCCAGAGAATGTAAGGAAATAGAAAGACTACATTAAAAATTTTCCCACTAGGGACAGTCTAGGCTCCAGTGCCTCGTTGGTGAAGTCTATCCAACATTTACAAAATACATAATACCAGCCCTTCACAGATTCTTTCAGAATGTAGAGGAGGAGGGAACATTTCCCAACTCATCCTCTGAAAATTGTATTACCCTGCAACTAAAGGCAGACAGAGGCTGGGCTTGGTGGCTCACGCATGTAACCCCAAGATGTTGGGAATCCGAGGCGGGCGGACCACCTGAGGTCAGGAGTTTGTGACCAGCCTGGCCAACATGGTGAAACCCCGACTCTACTAAAAATACAAAAATTAGCCGAGTATAGTGGCGGGCACCTGTATTCCCAGCTACTCGGGAGGCAGAGGCAGAGGCAGAGGCAGGAGAATTGCTTGAACCTGGGAGGCACAGGTTGCAGTGAGCCCAGATCGCACCACTGCACTCCAGCTTGGGCAACAGGCGAGATTTCTCTCAAAAGCAATAATAATAATAATAATAGCAATGCCAGACAGAGACAGCAGAAGAATACCATAAACCAATATCCATCATGAATATGCATGCGAAAATCCCCAAGAAAATATTAGCAAACCCCAATCCAGCGACACATACAGTAGGTTACACAACATGACCAAGTGACATTTATTCTAGGAATGCATTCAAATTTCAGTTAAGGTAATCCACCCTGTTAATATAATAGAGGACAGGAACTATATCATCATCTTCATAGACAGAGAAAAATATTTGACAGTATCTGATGAAACCATGTCTGCACAAAGATATGTGCTCAGATGTTCACTGCAGCATTTTGCAGGAAGGCCCCAGAGTGGAAACAAGCCAAATGTCTACCAATCAGTAAAGGGATAAAGAAGTGGTATATCCATACAGCCGAACGTTACTGAGCCATGACAAGGAACACGCTACTGATGCACGCTACAGCGTGTTTGTGCCTCCAAGACATGCTAACTGACAAATGTCAGACACAGAAGACCACTTACTGCACAAGTCAGTTTATAGGAAATGCCCAGAGAGGCAGCTCTACAGAGAGAGAAAGGAGCTTACTGGTTGCCTGGGCGGGCCTGGAGGTAAAGTAATGGGGATTGACTGCTGCTAGTGGGTACCAGGGATCTTTCTGGGGTGATGGAAGTATTCTGAAACTGGATGGTGGTGAGGGCTGCAAAACTGTGTACATTTGCTTAATCTCTCCGTATTATTCCCTTTAGGTACGTGAAAGTTTGTGGCAAGCAAATTAAACCTTAGTAAAACCATTTAAAACATGTAGTGCAAACGTGACCGTAAGTCGTGGAGGAAAGGGTATGCAGTCATTTTTTCTACAACAGTAAGCAATATCCCCTTTCTTTTCCTATTCCACGTCCTGCCTACATGTGCTGCCTGGTCGCCTGGCTCCTCCACGTGCACCTGATGCTCCAGCCAGATAGACTGTGCACACCTGGGCAGAGGCAGTGCTGGTGAGTGCACGTCTACGTGTGTGTCTGTGTACGGTGTGCGCACGTTCCTGGTTCCTGCGCAGGCAGCCTGTGGGTGCGTGCACTAGTGACTGTCAATCCTCTGTCTGTGGGCAGGCTCCCATAATCCATGCTACATCCTGAATTCCACTGCCGGTTTTTCTGTTCACCAATCTCAAGGACCTGGCTTCAGTTTCCCTGGTAACCAACCTCAGCCCTTAGCTTCAACCTCTGAGCACAGGAAGACAGCCAGAGTGGGGAGGGGTGGTGTCTCACCCACAGGGCCCCTGCCGGAGCTGAGCACCCCAATGGGATGAGTGGCAGCACGGTTACCAAGACAACAGAACTCTCGACCCCTTTCCACCTGCAAGGCTCTTCTTTCTCCCTCTCCTGGGCCTGCCGAGTATCAGGTCAGAAAGGGAAAGCTGTGGCATCACCACCCTCCTAAGTCCTTGAAATTGCTCTGACGTGGCTGTAGAATAAATATGTGAAAAGATGCTCTTGAAGGCGAGGCAACCCCTACATTTTTTTCCAATTCATTAACTACAAACAAGGCTATGGAGTCCAAGGTTATATTAAAAAAAACAGGGCAGGTGAAGGGCAGGTGAGCTTATGTCTCTCAACGTCAGCTGTGCATCAAGTCTCTCGTGGAGCATTTGTCCACGAGCGGATGCCGGGCCCAATCCCCAGAGAGTCTGACTTAGCGGGTGTGGAATGTGGCCCCAGCGTGAGTATCATTTTGTAACTCCTCTTATGAAAGCCGAGGTGGCAGCTGCAGAAACGGAACCATCCTCATAGGAAGTAAAGCATATCTGAAACACAAGGTCCCTCGTCAAAGGGAAAGCAGGACGTCTTTGTTCCCTGCTATGCTGGCAGTTTCTAGGGCTAATAGATTTCCCGGGCTAAGGAAAGGTCAAAAACATTCAAAGTAGCTTGAGTGCTTGTTTTACAGCTGACACTGTGCTCGCTTTCCTCTATAGTCCTGAAATCAAAATTTTCATGTTAACATGCTGCATTTGCCAATGAAATATATTGTTGTTTCTGGTGAGGGTCTCCTATGCTCGAGTTATTTTTTTTTTAACTTTCCACACATCCTCTTTATTATTATTATTATTGTTATTATTATGTGTGTGTGTGATAAGAACACTTAGCCAAAGATCTACTCTTTTAGTAAATTTGAAGTATACAGTAGTGTATTTAGCTGTAGGCATTATGCTATATAGTAGATCTCTAAAACTTCTTTATCTTGCCTAACTGAAACTTTGCAACTTTGACCATCAACCCTCCACTCCCTGCCCCAACCAGCCCCTGGCAACCACCATTCTACTCTCTGTTTATATAAGTTTAATTATTTTAGATTCCACATATAAGTGAGGTCGCACAGTATGTGTCTGGCATATTCACTTAGCATAATGTTCTCAAGGTCCATCCACGTTGTCACAAATGTCAGAATTTCCTTCTTTTTAAGGCTGAATAATATTCCATTGTATGTATATACCACATTTTCTTTATTCATCCATCAATGAACACTTAGGTTGTTTTTATATCCTGGTTATTACGAATAGTGCTGCAAAGAACATGGGGGAGTATCTGGACTATAAATACCCAGAGTGAGATTACTAGATCATATGGTAGTTATTTTCAAGGTGAGTAAAACACTGCATAGATACGTTCACGAGACGTTGCACAATCATTCCTTGAATCTGGAGATGGCTCAGATTTGTATTAGCTGATGTGGATGAATCAGCTCCCAGGCTTACTTATTAAGTGTGTTGAGATGCATTTTCACATTTTATTATAATTAGTGATATCAGATGAATCCTTCTGCTTAAAGGGCCATATAGGACTAGGAAATGTACGATGAAAAATACAATTCAGCAGTCCCTTGTTTCATGTGCACCCGTGGAGACCCACTTCCACAAACTTCTGGTTTTTTTCTTCAGCTATTTCTTCTGAATATTCACCTCTGTGTCTCTAAATGATGGGCTCCTACTGCTGTGTCTCGATTTAGGGATTTGGAGGTTATCTGTTGAGTTCTCAGAGGAAATGAGCATTTCGGTCTCTGAGATACCTTACAGGGCCTGGGTCTGGTCTTTGGCCTTCCCTGTGGGGGCCACCCAAGCCTGGGCCTGGGCCTCCGCTCGGATGCCTGTAGAGAGTCTCTGCCAATAAGAAGCCTTCATGGGAGACTCTTTGCTCATCTGTGGCAATGTGGAGGTCCTGGTTGGCTTTTTCCAGAGCCTTGCAGCAGAGTCACAGGGTGATCCTCAGCCAACCTGGCATTATTCCTAGGTTCTGGGGTTCAGGAACCGAGTGGATGGTGGTGCCAACCCGTGAGACACGGGACACAGTTGGGGGTTCACCCGCTGATTTGTTGGGCTTGTGGGATATCTGAGTGGACATGCTCCTTAAACCATGCCCTGTGGGGGCTCTGGGGCTCAGCTGGGGTTTTCCTGGTGGAGTTCGTGATGCAGGAATCCATCAGCACACAAGCGGAGAAGGACGGAACCAAGTCTGGGTGGCCACGTGGGCACCCAGGGTCACCTACAGAATGAGGAGTGTCCAGGGCAAAGGTCGCAAGCCAGGAAATAACATTTTTGAGATGCTCGAAGTAAAAGGACCAACGAGGAGACTCAGAAGTAATGGCCTCGGGGTAGGAGGAAAGCCAGGGGTGGCTTCACAGAATCTGAGAAGCAGAGTGTATTGGAAAAAGGAACGTGAACTGTGGCCAGGACAGCACTGGGTGCTTTGATTTAGCATTGCAGAACTAGTTGGAGATTTCAGCTGGGGAACGTTGCGTGGCTGTGGGGCTCACTGAGGAGGAAGCAGGAAGAGGTAACCAGTAACTCTGCTGCTGTGGTCGACGGGTTCAAGAAGCTTGGCTTGAAAAGATTCAGTGACCCGGGCTAGGAGAAGCAGAGGGCTGAGGACTTGCCAGGGTGTGCTATCTTCTCCTTCCCAAACACTTGAGAGGAAAATCGTGAGGTGCAGGTGCCAGAAATCCGTGACAAGAGTCTCGAGGCCCGGTAACAGATGGCCCAGGCAGACAGAGGTATATGAGCCTCGTGGTGTTTCTCTGAAGTTGAGGATAGAGGAGCAGCGGTTTCAAAGCAGCGGTGGGGTTGCAGGAAGGCTTCCACCACCACTCTCCTTCCTCCTCTTTCTTACCGCCGTGACCCATGGTGGTATGGCCCGTGAGATACCTCATCTTCCATGAAAACGGCCTAAATGGATGGTGTCCACAGAGATTGTAAGAGTACTTAAGTCGGTAGAGTGTGCAATCGGGCGGGCAGGCGTTGGGAATATGTGGAAGGTGGCATCAGAGGGAGGAGGAGTCCCGCTGGGGGAACACAGAGCAGTCTTGCGATGAGAGTGGTGGACCTATGGGGCTTGGAGTTGGGGTGATGGAAGGGGCTGGGTACATGGGGGCACTTGGTCTGGAGATTCACACCAAATGCCTGGTGTGAGGAGGTTTCTTTGCTTGGGACCATAGAAGCATGAGGAGCCATCAGAAGCCAGAAGACGTTGTTTGTGTCTGTGGCCCTGGCTAGGATGGATTTCCAGCCTCTGTAAACCTAAGCCCTATCGTGAGAGTGGCTTCAAAGTGTTACGCCTCGTGGTGAGGAGGCTGTGCTTTTGGGCCCTTCCAGGGAGGATCAGAGAGACTTAGCCACAGGGTGACACAAAAGAACTCCCCTGGGAGTTCTCCATGGGAACTGCGAGGGGCCCCGTGTTCCGGGATTTTTTGCAAACGCAAGGAGAGCCCCGAGTCTGGAGGTTTAGGTATCTCGCAGCGAGCTACCTGTACCAGGCCGCCATAAATAATGGTGGGGTATGTTCCCCAGTGAAGGAGCAGTGTGCAATCCAAGAAAGATTCCAGCCATCGCTACCTGGCCACAGCCTAGGTGCCATCGAGAACTGAAGATCTTTGTCAAGGACACCCGTCATTGCTCCCTAAACTCTCTTTGGGTGGTGGGGGGGTCTCCGGGTGTCTACCTGGGTGGTACCCCCTATAAGAAAAGGGGACCACATGGGGCGTGAATGTGACAAGAGGAGAAGCAAGCCCTTCCTCCAAATTGACCCCTTTAGAGATCCCAGGATGAGACACAAGGGCCCTGGGAGCCTCTCTGGGTCTGGCTCCTGGTGTGCATTTGCCAGACTCTTCGGCCTCAGAGCGCTGCTGGGGCGTGAAGAAGAAGTGCTGTAGAACTCACGATTTTCTTAGCGTCAAGAGCCCAATCAGGATCTGGAAGTGGTGGCGTGGCCTCGGAGTTCCAGGTACTTGAGAGGCTGAGGTGGGAGGATGGCTTGAGCCGAGGAGTTCAAGGCTGTAGTGATCTATGTTTGCACCACTGCACTCCAGCCTGGGTGACAGAGCAAGACCTTATCTCAAAAAAACAAAAAGAACCGAATCAGGCAATGCGTATATAAATGTTTTGTAAATATTACAGCTCCATGTGAAGTAAGAGTGTTATTACTGATTTTGTTTTTGCTGCCTAACTGTGGTGGCTGCTTCTATTAGTAACCGAGTTCTGTTATTAAATGAAAACACTCAAAGGGGCCCAAGACAGCTGACTCACCCCGGGGTGGAGAAGCGAGACCTGCCGAAAGGGCCGTGCCAGTGCACGAGGGTGCGTGGCGTCTGTGAAAACTCAGGAGGTTCCGCCTTGGAGAATGAGTTTCTGCCAGGATACAACGATAGGAGACAATTCTTGGTCTGTCAGGAGCCACTGAAATTCTCCCCTGTACCTGTCAACTCTTGGGAGGAAACTGGCATCATGTACATTTGAAAGAAATAAGAAGGAAAAAAGCCCTCCTTCTTTTAATAAGAAATTTTGGCTTGCTACATCTCCTCCAGACGTCATTCTCTGGCTGTAGAAACATTTTTTCACTCCACCCTCCAGGGCTCAGGCCCTGGGAAGTGGGGTCTATCTTAATAAAGAACACTGGAGCCCGGCATGGCTGGGGATGTCAGTGATGGCCCCCAAGGAGGTCCTGCTCAC